GATGAGATTCTCATTTAAAGATGCACTGAACCATCCCCACATAATAATAATAATAATAATAATAATAATAATAATAATAATAATCCCACCACCATGTTTCACTGTATGGACCGTGATCTTTGGGTTATATGTCTTTTATATGCCTCACCCTACTTTTTGCTTTCTTGTGGGCAAAGAGCTCTGGTTTCCTCTTCCCGTATGGATAACCTTTCTCCGGGTTATGTTAAACATACTGCAGTCTGGCTTAAAGATGTCTCTTATGCAGAAGTGGAGGTTTTTTGGTCTGCGACCTCGCAGTAGTGATTGTCTTTAGACACATCTCTCACTAGTTTTCCTTTCCAGAGCCTTTGAAATCTTTTGCTTCCTACCTCTGCCAGGTTTTTCCCTTACATCTTATATACAGAGACAGACAAAGAACATTCCACAAACTCTTACATGTTTGGGGGGGGGGGGCTATACCTCCTCCCTCACAGAGAGAATTATGACCTTGTGAGGGAGGAGATTTACACCTAAAGATTTACATCCCTGATAAGCAGAAGGAGTCCCACTATCTGTTTAACGTCTCCCATTACAATGGCCTCACTGTGTTAACATTCCACATGCATGTAAACTAGTGACAGGAGTGCTCTTACTATAGTAAAGTGAGAAAGTGATATTACTATAACTAATGTGATATGATTAAATATGTGATTAATACATGAGAAAAGAAATCTGCCACCACACTTCCTTCTGCAATTACTTTTAAAAAGCACATCTACTTCACTGCGTTCCAGGTAATCTCCAGATATATCTGCCAGTACAAATCAATATCAGTGTTTTTATTTCTGTTCTCTGGTGAACACTCTCAGAGATACATGATCATAAATGACGAAGTTATTTTATTTGGGCAACCCAACCTTCTACATGGGTATGACAGTGACCATGGTCTTTGAGCTTCTTACTTTCACCCAGTTTTAGGAACTTTGGTGTGATTTTTGACTTGACACCTGTGATTATCATTTCATGTTGTTATAATTTAGTTCTTTTCAACTACACAGCAACCACCGGGCTATGAGGCCCCAAGATCAACCGTAACACAGGCCTGTCAGAGTGGGTCTCGTTAGTGTAACATGTGTGTAACATGTCAATTCTGTGGCGTTTAAAATGCTGCAGCATGCCGGTGCGGTTTAAAGAAACAGGAGCTCAGCCAAGCAGTTGCTCATTTGCTTTTAACAGTGTGACACGACAATCAGACATTTCTTTCCTGTTGCAGAAATGTATCTGTCACCTCAGTAGCAGAGGTAAAAATATATGCCTTTTTTCACGGTAGGTCTTTTGACATTTCATAGTAAGTAAGAAGCTTCTGCTTTCTAGTGCATTTTCACCTGTCTATGCTGCCTCAATATCATAACGCAATGGCTTAACTGTGACACCTGAACATTTTTTTAATGTTACAAGTGTCACCTTTGGCTCCTTTAGAACTGAAGACAAAAATCTTCTATAGTGTTTTGAAAAAAAAAAACTATGCTGTGACTTTAGGTTCAGTTTTAGAATTTTTGAACACATCGGTGTGCATAAATGTTACATCAGCAATTTAAATAAACCTAAATAATATATTGTATGTGTGCTACGCACAAGGTTTATTAATTTGTGGAGAATAGGTATGGGTGAAAGGTCCTAATAAACGTTGCAGTTTGATTTGCTGTAAACAACAGCCTTTCCAACTAAGACCACTTGCAACGATGAGCAGTTATACATCAGCACACTGGTGAGTCCAGCAGGTCTGTTGTCAGCTCTGCTGTGAATGGAACAGGGGGAAAACTGGGAAGTATTCCCTCATTATGTTTTTTTTATTAGGATTTGAGAGAAGCTCTAGTCTCCAAGTTTCATGGAGGTAAGGTCTCTGAACCACACAGGTTACTATGAAACACATTACAAAGGAGGAGAAATTCTCTGTTTCAAATTGAAAGAAAAATCATCTCTCCTTAGCATACACCTTAAGTTTGAAAATATCCTGCACGTGGTTCAGTTAGCCTACTTTTGGAGGACTACAGATGAGCTGTTCTTAAAAAAATAATAAAAATAAGAATAAGAAGATTGTATTGATCCCAGAGGGAAATGCATAGTAAGCACAGAAACTGCCAGGGGGCTGACTTGCCAAGATCAGTGCATCAGATCATAAAATAACAAATGTAAATATTTTAAAACCACTAATAGTGTCATAATCAAATTTGCTGTTGTTCATTGGTGAAGTCTTTGTCTTTATGGCCGATGAGAACTACGCTCTAAGTAAACTCATGGTGTTGAGTTTATAGCTAGTTTCACATGCCTTTAATATACCATGGGGCTCTGTTTTTCTTACATTTTAGTCACTCGGGTCAAAAAGGATGACAAACCAGAAAAGCCTACATTGTAATACAGAAATCACTACCATAGTAGCTCAGTCAGATCCAAAAAATAGCATTTTTTACAATAAAATATGGTGCATTCATAATTTGCTAAGCTACCACAAAAGCTACCTATTTATATGATACTTTGTATCATATAAAAATATTTTTTATGTTTAGAAAATGCAGCAAACCATCAAAGATGTGAAAAGTCCAAAGTTAAACTTCAGCTATGCAGTTACATTTGAACTACGCTGCCAGAGAAGTGAAATACAATTCCCGTTTAGTGGAAGGTCTCTTAGTGGTGGTTAATCATGCACTGCCTGCAGTACTAAATCCCTTTCCTTTCCCCCCAGGCCTCTATCTAAGAGCAAACATATAAAAGTCAAGAGAGCAGTTCATGGTACCCAGCAGAATATAAAACACCGACCCTGAGATTGTACGTTACTCGCAGCACTTACTATTTTATTAGTAAGTCAGCATTTCACGATTCTAACAAAACTGTCCATATTTTCATAATGCTGACCTTGCAAGTTTTCTATTACAAAAAATTGTCTCAGTTTGCGGTCATAGAATATTGTTTGCCACTTTATTTGAGTCAAAGAATGAGTGAATAAGGCAATAATTTCTCTTTCAAGGGTTTGACATGACAGAAGTCATGCTTGCTGTCATTATCATCAGCTGCTGTAAGACCACTTTCTGTGTTGTGATTGGATCAGTGCACCTCCACTCGTTCATTCAGAGCTACACATTTAAGCTGACAATTGTTTTGGTCATCATATTGTTAAATAGTTTTGACAAATTAGAGCACATCACAAAAACAAATGCAATCATGAATATATATTCATATTGTTCTAAACTGATATATTGAACGCAATCAGGGACTAGATTTGTCACCCCGACTGTAAGTACTAGATCCAAGTGTCAAACATTTGGCCCTCAAGCCATAAACAGCCCACTAAACAGCCTAATCCCATGCACAGGATGGCTTTGTGAAGAGGAGGGTAACATGTCAAACAAAATGTGGAAAAGGTGCACAAGCCAAACCTCCTAGAGAGCCATAGGTTTCTCTGCACAGCAGGGCTGCTGTAACTCTAAACTCAACTATACATCCAGCCATCCATTGAATTTTCTTCCACTAATCCAATTCAGAGTTATGGGCGGGCTGAAGCTTATCCCAGCTGTCATAGGACAAGAGGTGGGGTACATGGTGGCTCAAAGAGTTGGCAGTTCGTCTTGCAACCGGAAGGTTGCTGGTTCAAGCCCTGGCTCGGACAGTCTCGGTCATTGTGTCCTTGGGCAAGACACTTCACCTACCGCCTACTGGTGATGGCCAGAGGGGCCGATGGCGCGATATGGCAGCCTCGCCTCTGTCAGTCTGCCCCAGGGTAGCTGTGGCTACAACTGTAGCTTGCCTCCACCAGTGAGTGAATGAATAGTGGAATTGTACAGCGCTTTGAGGGCCCCGAAAAGCGCTATATAAATGCAATCTATTATTATTATTATAGGCCTCCAAACTCCACTAATAAATATGAAAACAATAAAGCAATAACAGCAGTAAAAATAAGATCAAAATCAAGACTTAGACAAAGTGATTAAATTGGTTCATTCTCAGAATGTACTTGTGCTCCTGCACACTTTTAAAACATGCCGTTTTGTCCCGGTTTTAATCTGACAGCCCATTTAAGATCAAACCGAGCTCTGTTTGAACTACAATGAGTCTGACAGCCCTGCTCGAGACGGCTTATATATGTTCTGGCCATATCATGCTTTAATTATATTCCCCGCGTTATCTGTGATAATGTTCTTGTACTGAATTTGTCACATACTCAGCGGTAGGGACATTCACCTTGTCTCATTGCCGGGATGCAGAGCGTTGATTGCAGTGAGCAGGTTTTTGGCAGAGTTTTTACGGGTGGAAAAAGAAACTGTTTTTCTTTTTTTCTTTCTGCTTTGTCTTCATAATAAAAAAAATCTCTTCTGGCAGTGGGAAAGAGAACAAAACAGAAGCAGCCCATGCTGTTAGCCTACTGTCTAATCACTCTTTCCCATGTTGGCGTACAAATGCTGCAACACTTTAAGCAACTGTTTTCAACTAGTAGAGTCAAGGATTCTCTTTCTGGAAAACTCAAAGTGTTTACATGTTAAAGTAAAGAGATGGTATATTTTCGATATTGTGTCTAGCACGTCATCAGTGTCCAAGCCAACATCATTAGGCTAATTAATTCTGATGCTCAGTAATTAGTCAGTACACCTGCCATGTGTCAGCTGTTGCCTCTCCACCATGGGCGGTAGTTTTTAAGTAAAAGCGGGCTTGGAACGAAAGCGAGCTTTTGTGTTTGTTTGAAGTCACCTTCGAGAATCCACTTCAAGTCCATTTTGAGCATGCCAAGCATAACTGGTGTTTGAAAACATGGTTGCTCAGAGAGGTGGCTGTTGACAGAAGAAAGACTCAGCTATGGCTTCTCATTCTGAGCCAAGCAGCCGGTTGACTGTCCTCTCAGAGCGTAGTGATTGGGTGGCCTCTCGGCTCAAAAAGAAATGACCCCTCCATCTTTCACACACTGCAAAGTCAGAAACATACACACACTCTATTCTCTATGTGAAGTTCCTCTCTGTCGGTTTCTCCCTCAGAGCATGACGAGTGCGCCAGCAGCCAGGATTTGTGTGATGAGAACGCCATCTGCACCAACACCATCAGGGGACATCTGTGTACCTGCAAGCCAGGCTATGTGGGAAATGGCACCATCTGCAGAGGTAAGTTCCTAACCCTGGAATATCCCACCTGACACACAGACACAGAAACAAAAAACCTTGCCACATCCTCTGAAGATAGGTTGCATGCTTCATTACAACACGGTTCATGTGGTTCGCTCCTCCTTCCTATCCTCTAACCAGGCAGCAGCTGCCATGGAGATGGTGAAAATTGAATCTGGACCATTTTCAGACAGTTTTTGCCCACATGTGCTTCTTTCCCCTCGCTGCTCACCCTGCTCCCCATTGACCTGTTGCACTGCCAGGCATGTTTCCTGGTTTGCCTGCATATAATAGCAATTGAAAAGCATACAGAGGAAAACACTTTGTTTTCAGGTTCACAAAAAATTAACATTTGAAAAAATATCAGAACCTTTGCATATCTATAGCTATGAAAATTACAGTTCTTTGTAATAGACTCCATTAAATCTACACATAGACCTTAGAAGTGTTGATCATTCACTTCAGCAAGCATGTTAAAGATATGGTTGTTTGCCTGCTAGAGATTAGACCGAAGACTCAAGTTGCAGCACTACTTGGTCTGCAGTAGCACATGTTTGTCAGCAAAGCAAAACACATTTTACAAAAACTGTGGGAAGTTCTGTTTTGCTGTCTTGGGTTTAACGTCTTGGTCAGGCATGGATATTACTAAAAAGAAAATGGACCTTGCACAATCATAGCAACTGAAACTAGAAGTTAAGATAATAAGCGCATTAGGAAAGTATTCCTTAAATCAGATGAGAGATTACAATCCAGCTGCTGGAGTTTCTCCCTGTTGGCTCTTAAAAAGGTTCTGTGGTTAGGACACTTTAGTATTCAATTCAATTCAATTCAATTTTATTTATATAGCGCCAAATCACAACATAAGTCGCCTCAAGGCGCTTCATAGATACAGAGAAAAAAACCCAACA